CAAAACACCTTAAGGAACAGCAAGAATGATTATCAATCTCCATGACCTATTCCTTCAGCAAGACTCTGAGACAAGGAAAACCCATACACACCCAAGGGCATGCTGCGGGCAGGCTAAGAAAGAACAAGGCAGGACACAGCACTGCAGGGAGGTAAGAAAACACAGTAAGATAGCAGGAGAGAAAAATCAATGAGCAAAGATAATTGCGCTCAGCAAGAAGCTACGGTGGAAGAGAAGACTCTGTTTACAACAGCGACAGAGGATAGAATATGTGTGAGGAATTCAAGGGAAGTGGGCAGGAGTTAAATGACAAATCATTCCTGAAGGTCCCAGAAGTAGATTTTACCATAAGACACACTATGTTCTTGAACAGGAAAAACCAATACCATAAAAATGTCGATTCTCCCTAAATTGATTTTTAAAATATAAAACAATCCCAACAAAACACCTTAACAAGTCCCCCCACCCAGAACTAGACAATTTGACCTAAAGTTCATGTCGAATAATAAGCATGATGAGCCTCCCAAAATCTGTAAAATAATAGCAATGAAAGATAAAGGGGGACTAGTCTTGCCAGGTTTTACAGTAAAACATACTGTAAAACATTGACCAACTAGAAGAGTACAGTAGTGGCTTATGATTCAACAAACCAAAGAGAACAGAGTCAAGAAACAGAACCCAAATATATTTAAGAATTTAAATATGAAAAAGGCAGCACCTCTAGTTAGTATAAACTTGGGACTTTTTATTAAATGGTGCTGTAAAAACTCAGGAGCCATTTGAAAAAGATTAAGTTGGATACTTACTTCATGTTATACCTAAAGAAAAACTCCTCATGGATCAAAGTCCTCTATGCAAAAATAAAACTATGCAAAAAACATCAGCAAATCCCTTTATTACCTCAGAGTTGAAGAGATCTTTCTAACAATGACTTAAAATCAGTAAGCCATAAAAATAGTTTTGAAATAAATTCCATTACATATAAATTAAAAATTTTTACATAGTCAAAGCATCATAAAGTAAGACAAATGAAAAACAGGGAAATATTTACAATGCGTATCACAAATGAGTAATCTCCCTAAGAACTCCTAGGAAAGTGAGAAGAAAAACTGGGCAAAGGGTAGAAATAGATAATTCTCAGAAAAAAAAAAACCATGACCCTTTAAACATATTAAAAAGTGTTCGACCTTATTAAGAAGAAAAATGCAAACTAACTCTACACTGAGAAACCACTATTTGTCTAGGAGACAGGCAAATATCCAGAACTTTGATAATATGCTTATGGAGGGAAGAGGCACTCTAATACACCGCTGTTGAGAGTGTAAAATGGTGCAAGTCCTATGGAAGGGTATATGCAAAATTACAGAGGGCAGAAATACAGATCTAACAACCTCCTTCCAGGAATCAAGACTTCAGTTTATTCTATGCAAATGGCAAAGGGAAATGACATACGTACCAGTTATACCCTGAAACGTGAAAATAAAAGACTGGAAACAGCCCAAGGATCCAGTCATAGAGAACTGGTTGAGCACACCATGGAATGGAATCCAACACTATGCAGGAATCACAAAGAATGGGGAAGAGCTTCCCAATCGGATACAGAATGATCTCTAGGATACATTGTTAAGTGAAAAAAACATCAGAACAGTACCCAGAGCAGGCTTCCTTTGGTCATGACTGATGGTGGTTGGTATCAGGGCCCCTGAAGTCACAGCACCACTTTAATTAGCTGTTCAACTTCTAACTTTGAATACTAACACTTCAAAGGAATGAATCTTGCCTTTCCATTTGAAATTGTATCTCAGGGTAACCAAAGATTTACAGTGGATGAAAGAAAGCCATATTTTACAGAAGACTGCCAACTACTAAATATAGAAGAAATGACAGATTCAGAATATCACCATTTTGCAACTCATAATGAAATAATTGATTTAAGCAAGGAATTATCAAGTGTTAAATGTTAAACCCATCAAGTGTCAAAACATCACACAGGTTATTTTCACCTCTAAGGAAAAAATGTTAACTTTCTTATAAAGGGATCAGATTATCATCTCTGCAATTCAGTCTTAACATTACCAATGATTAGATAATAGATTTGAGGTGATACAAAACAAAATATGCAAAATCACCTATGGTACATCCCAGCTACAGTGCCACTCTATCAAGGTTTTAGGTCTAACTTCCCAACTACTGGAATTCAGTAGAACAAGTAATAAGCTAAAAGGCACTTTTTACAAGATCATTTTTCAGACCAATAAACCAACGATACAAAAGACAGAATGTTTCAGATTAAGAGACTTTAAGGACATAACAACCCAGCCTTGAAATGAGTGCTCCTGGACTTGATCCTGGTTTGGACAAATCAACTGGAAAGGATGTTATGTGACAAACAGTGAAAATGTGAACATGGACTTGTGCAGTAGCTCTGGCCATGAATTCTCTGCAATCCCCTCATCAGGAAGTGATGTCTTTGGCAAGGATGTGGAGAAAAGGGAGCTCTTATGCACTGTTGGAAGGAATGTAAATTGGTGTAGCTATTATAGAAAACAGTATAGAGATTCATCAAAAATTGAAAACAGAACTACCACATGATCTAGTGATTCCCTTTCTGGGTATTTATCCAAAGACAAAAACACTACCTTGAAAAGATATGCACCCCCACAGTTTACATTATTTACAACAGCCAAGATATGAAAACAACCTATGTGTCCACTGATGAATGAATGGATAAATTGTGGTGTGTACACATACACACACATAGGTATATTATTCAGCCATTAACAAAAATGAATTTTGCCATCTGCAGCAACTTGGATGTACCTTGAGTGCATTACACTGAGTGAAATAAGTCAGACAGAGAAAGACAAACACCGTATGATCTCACTTATATGTGGACTCTTAAAAATAACAATAAAAACAACAAAAAACCAAGCTCATAAATACAGAGAACAGACTGGTAGTTGCCAGAGGATGGGTGTGAGGGGTGGGCAAAATGGAAGAAGGTGGTCAAAAAGTACAAACTCTCAGTTATAAAATAAGTCAGTCACAGGGTTGTAATGTACACCATGGTGACTACAGTTATAATATTGTTATTGCATATTTGAAAGTTGCTAAGAGGGTACATCTTAAAAGTTCTCATTGCAACAACAAAATTCTGTAATCATGTATGTTGACAAATGTTAATTTGACCTACCGTGGTGACCACTTTACAATATATACCAATGTTGAATCATTATGTTATACACCTGAAACTAATACAGTGTTGTAGTTCAATTATTTCTCAATTTTAAAAAATCTTAAAAAAAAAAAAAAATGAAGTGAAGTCTGTTTTCCTGTCCATTGAATCTGGCTGGTCTTTTGTTAAAGGGGAGGCCATGCAGGTCCCAGAGCCTGGCCTCAGGAGGCCTCGCAGCCTCTACCTCTGCCCTCTGGGCAGTCTTCACAGGTTGGCCTGAGGCTGCTGTGCTGTGAAGCTGATGGTGCCCTTAAGCTTGGATGTAAGCAGAGCTACTCATTTCTATTTGTTTCCCATTTGAAGGTTTGTGTTTTCATGTGAGGGAGGGTTCTGCTGCTGAAAGATTTCAAACCAGTGTATTAAAATGCTCTGTCCCTATAATCTACTGGGTAAACATACTGAAGGAATACATAATCACAAATTGGTAAGTAACACAGCTGAGCAGATACACACAGGAGGCAGAATGAGGGACCAAATGATACTGACTTGCTGGAACAACAGGCAGACAACAGTATGAGTGAGAACTCTGACAGGACAGGGAAAACATGACCTGTATGTAGAAAGACTGAGGATTGTTTGTTCATGGTAAGCATTGCAGGAGACTGAAGTGTAACCTTAGGACTCAAAAAGTGAATGCAATTTTAGGCATCATTAATAAAAGTGTAAGTTCCAAAATGAGAACATTCAATAAAATTGCCAAATATGTATTAAAAAACCTGTTTGTACTACCAACAGTCAAAGAATAAAGGCAGCACACTGTTTGGCAAACTTTGAAATGGGTCAGACCTGAGTTCCAATCTTTGTTCTCAAGCTTACACAAGACATGTAACTTTGGGAAACACAGCTTCCAGAAACTTCTGACATCAATAACGAGGGGATTTGGGTAGCGCTGTTGTGAGAGTTAGTGACACTATGGATAACCTAGCATAGCTTTGGCATTCTGGAGGCACTCAAGAAATAGCTAATGCTTACAGAGCACACTGTGAAATTTTATCTCCTCTAATTCATAGAATAGTTCGGTAACGGTATTATAATACATAAACGTAAGTTATCACCAGAATGCAATTACAGTTGTAACATGAAATACTCAATGATGACAGAGTATAATGCTAGAAGTATTGCCATTTACTTCTAGTAGGAAGAGAAAATGGAACAACTTTTCAGCAAAGTAATTTGGTTGATGTGTAGAGGACTTTTCCAGAGTTCATATACAATGGTCCAACTCTATTTGGGAAAGGAAAGAATTTAGAAAGTGCCTGTGGGTAGAAGTGGGAGTGATCAAAGGGTTGACTGACTAATAGATATCTCCATTATATGCAGGTTTTTCACCAGAAAAGCAAAGTGTCTCTAAGAATAGAAGTGTCTCCTTTCTTTTTATTTTTCCCATTTGCTGATTTCCATAAATATTGCATCAACCCAAACCTGTATGTTGTGAGACCTCCTAAAGCAGGACTCTGTGGCCCACCTCACCATTCAGCTCCTCACGTGGGAATGGAGCACCCTACCCAGGAAAGCAGGCACTCCTATCTCAAGTGTTTCGTAAGATTAATGAAGGAGTGTGGAATAGAAGTATATAAATTCCTTCCGCTTGGGAGGCCCCAAACCCACAGCAAGTCATGTTCAGGGAAATGCTGCCTCAAAGAGAAGAACCGTAGTCAAATTAGTTCATTTCTTCTAAGTCTGAAATATGTTGCCCTTTGAATGAATTACAACTCAAGAATCCAGGCCAAATGTTTTCCTAAAAAGCTTGACAGCTGACACTTACCTAAAATGAGATGAAGTTTAGTTTCTGTCTGGAAGGCATAGTGCAATGTGACCAAAAATGGCGACTGTCGAATGTGTTCCAGGACTTGTCGCTCTGTCCTTGTATGTTCTGTAGTTTTGGCCTTTTGAACTATTGTTGCCTTTTTCAAAACTTTCATGGCATACAGCTTTCCAGTATCATGGCCACTTATTTTACGAACTAGAAATACTTTTCCATAAGCTGAAAATGAAGAGAAAAAAATGAAAAGAATTAAAATGCTACTTCAGCAGAATGGTAATTTACTGGAAATTGAAAGTTACAGTACACAAAAAAACACTCTTTGAATGAAAATGTTTCCTTAGTGCTGTTTCAAATGGTCCTTTGATAGATTTCTTCAATTCTATGCCAAATACATTTCTATGTCTAACCCTTAGCATTTATATATCTAACCACTGTTTATGAAGTTATGCTTTCACCCTTTTGCTGTTATTCTTGTTTCAATATTTTTAGCTGTACGAAACTCGCTGTTATGTGGTCAATTAACGACAATCCAATTCTAGAACTAGGACATTTTTAGACATCAGATAAAACCTCTAGGCTTTGCTATCAATGAAAACAGTTCTTAATAAGAATGCCATGCACACAATACAAATAAAGTACCTCAAGTACGCTTCCATACTTAAAAAAAAAACAAACCCAAAACTAAAGCAACCTAAGCTGACATTATATAAACAAAACAGGTCTTCAGATTAAAAAAGCATTAGAAGACACTAAATTGCAAGCAATATGGCAGAAGCCCCTTAACATCTCTGGACAGTAATTAATGGCTTAGTAGATCAACCTCATTGTGTTTTCTCTAAGTGAGGACACAGCTGGGCAAATCATGTGTGCAGCGCCAGTCCTGCAGGTGAGAAGTTGGGGTCACAGGGGCACCATGCCTCCAGCAGAGCATTTATTTCCTAGAGAAAGGGGAAGGTGGCAGAAAGAAGTGGGAGGGAGAGGGAGGAGAAAGCGCTGGCAAAAACAGTGTGAGAGGGAAGGGGTAGGTCCCCAATTCATCCCGACAAGGTATGAATTCTCTTCCCTTTTAAAAATGTTAACACCTCCTGGGAAGGCTAGGCCCAGTCCACTCTGGAGTTGAAATACTTTTGCCAGACCACTCAGGAGCTAGCCTGAGTTCTGACCCACAGCAGTGCTTCCATACACTCCACCCACACTACCTCTCCAGTATTCAGCATAGGAATCTGTTCTGATCCTCCCACTAGAGTAAGAGAGCCTACAGGAAGGGCTCTTGTACCCTGTATCATTATTCAGTTCAGTACTTTGGGAAGTGAATTAGTACTGACACATGACACACGATACAGAATTGGGTCACCTGCCCAAGATCCCACTTGGCCACTAGGTCCTACTCCTGAGCTGGGTTTTCACGGCCTTAACTGAATGACCTCACCAGCAAATAAATAAGGAGGCAGACTTTAAATTCAAGTCACAGTACAAGTTTGGTGTTATGGTGGAGGAATGGACACAGTGCTACCACTTCCAAGAGAGAAAGGTTTGTAAAGGTTGTTATTGACTTGGGGCAGGGGAAGGGGGAAACCTAAATATTAGAAAATGTTCCTTATTTTGAGCGCAAACAGGCCTTTTATATAATACTCATTTGTCGGTCCTTCTATACCCTCTGGACCTACAAAAAAGAGTATCACTCCTCTTCTGTAAGATAATTTGTAAAATATTTTAAAACATTATCATGCCATCTTATCTGGGCAAAATGTCCCTCTGTGAATTTGTAGATTTTTCATTTCTTTCTGTTATTTAAAAAAAAAGTCATATTTCACTTCAAATAATTGTGAGGTAGCACAAGATGCTAATATATGTTGTCAAATAATATAAACTCATCATTATTGCCATGTTATGTGCTATATGGTCAAATAATCAACAGTCATGTGATGATAATGCAGTTTTCCAATAACATGAAGACTACATATCCTGCCAATGATTATTTTCATCTATCAGAAAATGTCAGGTAAAAAAGTATAATGAAGTTCACAAATCTTTTGTTTTTGCTTTTATAACTACCATGATTAACTAAAGCTAGAATACTTCTATCCCACAGTAAGTGCTAATAGATGCTTATGTCAACAAAATCAAGGAGTGCCTTCCAGCGTCTCAAACAACAAATACTTCAGACTAACAGTGCCTTACTTATTAAGTAGGCTGCCTAACTAAAACATAGCTGCCTCCAAACAGCCTTGATTTTTGAAGCACCCATAAGGCTGCTTATCATATTGCAAAGGAGAAAGAAAACACTACTAGAGAGACCTTGACGAAGCCACCTTTCTGGTTAGGTGGTTTGCAGACTATACGGAGAGAGAAAGTGAAGTGGCTCTTCTGCTGAATAGCGCCATCAACTCAAGAGTCACCAATATGCTTTCCAATATTTTAAGAGGGGCCATTGAAACTGAAATTGGTTTTTAGGTTGCAACTAAATGAGTGACTGTCTTCTAGTGCAGCCAGCTCCTTACTTTCATTTGTTACGTGTAGGCTGACATCATCAAAGAATTCCTATTTTGAAAGTCTTTTTTGGAAAGTGCAAAGGCTACCAATGGTGAAAACTCTTTTGGCCAAAAAAGATAAACAATAGTACTTCCCACTCAGATGGAGTACCTAAAATGGATGTTTGGCTGTCACACACTCGGTTTTGCTGTTTAGGTAAAGAAACTAAGCTTTACACTTTAGCATGACTCTAATTTCTACAGCAGCATGCAGTGGCTTCAAATGCTTCATTACCAATCTTCACAAAAGTCTTGTATATCTTAATTCCATCAGAGCCAGTGCCTTTTGAATCTTAATTTCTTCAGAGTCAGTGCCTTTTTAAGATACTCTTGTCAAGAAATGTGAGGAAATAAGTTCTGGGGCTATTTTGAAATTGAGGGGAAATACATTTTAAAAATAAATTACAAGAAGGATTAACTCCAGACAACATATGTATGAGGTAAATATTTCAATTTTGGGCCCTATTGATACCATTTTGAATTCTGCTGAAAACCCGCATGCTCATCTAGCCAAGCAGCCATTTCAGAAGAGAACTGGATCAATACAACTATGTAAACTTCTCCAAAGCTGGAAAAAACTTGCATTGGTTGGAGGAAAACTACAGGTATCTTATTAAAGTTAATTCTGTGCAAACTGAAATGTGGGTTTATAATTTGAATCTACCTGACACAGCACAATGTTGACAAACCTTGTGGACAATGATTTCAATGGTTTGATGATAAAGAAAACAATGTAAAAGGAACAAAACAGAGTGCCACAGGAAGTATCTAGTTTCTTGGACAATTAGTTCCTTGGAGTTGTATATGTTATTCTTATTTTATAATTTAACTAAATATTACATAAATCACTGAAATGTAAATGTGAAACAAAAGAGAAAAATGAAGATGAATGTTCTGGAAGAACTAGATAAAAGCAAGGCACTTAAAAAAAAAGAACTGCTGAAAATTGAGGTGTGGGAGGAAAAGCTAAAAAAGGCTAGGGAAAAACTTGTGAAAATCTAGAAGGATTTTGTACTCAGATTATTTCCAATGTGTCTGGTTCTCACTCCACTTTGAAGACTCCAAAATTAATTTTAGATGATGCATGCTAAGTGTGGTTTACACAAAATAAGCCATTGTTTAAGAACCGATTTTCAAAGAAAGAGTATTGTGCCTATATCCAGACTGGCAAGTGAATATATACTTAAACATTTTAAGTGAAAAATAATACATTCAAAGTTCATATTTATACATATCTTTTTTAAGTGATTTTTCCACTTCAACCAACTTTTTTTGATTAACTGCAAGTACCAATCATGTCATATAAGAGAGTTTCCACAAACTAGAGATCATATTCATCACTGCTGGGATTCATCATCTCTCATCCTCTAATTTCTACATCAGCATGCAGCGGCTTCAAATGCTTCGCGGAGTCTTGTAAAGGGTGACTTGGCCACCAACCCTACTAGCTTTACTTCCAGGCTTGCTTCCTTCCTCAATCTGGAAATCATACCTTGTGTATTCTCCAAATTGCTGATAAAAATGTAACCTGTCTGGCTCAGAACATTTGAATATTCATTGGTTTTAAATAAAGAGAATCCTTCAATAGAGAGGATCATTGCTCTTAAATAAAAAGAATAAAGATAACCTAAATTATCTGGTTTCTACCAACCTTTCTCCACCTTCTTACCATCTCATTTTAATTAACTCTTTCAGACACCCAGCCTCTACTGACTTCTCAGACTAGTACAATTCCTCCAATTCCATGCTCTCATTATACCATGCGTTCTCTGTCATAGAAATGATCAGAAACATGCATTTTCACATTATCTGATTGTTTCATTGTCTAACTTCCACTGGATTGTAAACTCTACAAAATCTTGGACTATGTCTGATCTTACTCACTTTGTATCATTAGTAAGTAACTCTGGAGCTGGCACATCGTGGAAACTCAGTGTTGAATGCATGACAAAAATGAACAAACAAGCTAGCCAACAGGTTAAGACCAAGAAAGAGCTCCACAGCACAGAGCCAACTACCGTCCTCTCAGTCGATGATCCGGGTCTAAAGTTAAAGCTGGGTCTTCAGCAAAAGAAACCAGCAAAGCAGATTCGTGGTACAGGGCGATGGCTCCCAAGTCTTTCCCTCTGGGAAACGAACAGTGGGCTTTCCTGAAGTAAGCCCTTTTAATTTGGGTGTTACATATGATTCCTGACAACATTCCCTGGTGAAAGTGAACTCAGGAGACTTAGCCACCATCATTCTAGGGCAAGAAAATATCTTAACATAGTGACATCTTTATATAGCCATTGCTTTGTAATCTGCCTAATCACAATGCCTGGTCACATCCCTTTCTCATATATAATTCAACCTGAGAACAGGTTTCTATCCTCCACATGTGCTATGTCCTGGGCACTGACAATCGTCCACCTGCCTTCCCTTCCCTCTTCCCCTGTAGAACTTCATTCACCCAAGAAAGTGATGTCAGAAATGGAACCACATAAGAAATACACTCTTGGAACTCTAAATTTCACTTGTCCTGCCCTTGGAAACTGGTATACTGGTTAAAAGGCCAGCCAAATGCACACGGTAAGTAATGCAGTAATGCTACCGAAGCATATTTCAATCCAGGAAAACCACCATTATTGGAAGGATTCTCAGAGAAGCAGCTTCATTGCAGTGTCCCTGCAGCACAATCAGTACAC